GCCAGACTTACAATATTGCAGTGGCATTTTAATAAATAAGAAATATAATAGGAACAGAAACAAATTCATATCATTGTCACAGTTATTGGTGTTCACAAAAAAGATTAACGGGCATGGGTATTGGCGTTCAGAAAATAAAGGTTTGCATTGGGGATGCTTTTTAGTATATAGGATAGGACACCGAAAACGTGTCAATATAATCTCGTTTTGTGGACACCAATATCCATGCCCATTGAAAGTTTTTTTTAGTAGCGAGAATTGGTGAATGGGAATATCAAAGTTTGTGATCAAAAGCTCCATTGTGCAAAGGCATCACAGTGAAATATCAAAACTTTGCATAAAAGTTTTTTTTTAAAATAATATGGGCTCCTATATTAGGTATAATAGTAAATCTCCCAGTAATCAAATCTCTTTTTATCCATTACTAGTCTCTCTGCACGCGCTTTTGCGCCTGCGAGAGGCTTTTTTTTTTAATTTAAAATTTACTTTAGAATTAAAAAAGATAATGAGTAGTTGTGTTGCATAAAAATAGGATCCATTATATGATTTTTCTTGTAATTTTATTTTTTTTAATATAAAAAAGTGTGAATTTACCATATTATCCTCATTTAATTAATAATTTCAATTCTTAATATTTGCATTAATCAAGGGCATTTTATGGTATTTTGAACGATTGACCATTCTCTATCTTTTGCTTTATATATGTAGATTTATAAGATAGGTGTCATTTTTATTACTAGACTAGTTGGTCAAGAAATCATATCATATATATAATTTCTAGTTCAGAATTAAGCATGATGTGTAAAAAGAACTAGCAAACAACATGCATAAATTTCTGAAATGACAAATTAACAATAACGCCGAATTGGAGAAAATTCCTCACAACTGATAAAAATTACAAACATATATGTGAAGATCAAATTTGCTTTCAACCAACATAGCATTCGCGTCGCCCTCTGGGAAAGTTTGATCCAACAAGGTTGCCAACACTGTGATTGAAACCATGGAATCAGGTATATATTTATTGATTTCAGTATTCTTGCAAAGGCATATATTTATTGTTTGCGAAAAAAAACACAACATGTTTTCGGGTATGACAGCCAAAAAAGCTAAGTTTGTATATGACATATCGGAAGCCAAGTTGTACGCCATAAAAAAAAGCTGCGTTTTGTGTATGACAATAATATTAGGGAAATCTGATAGTAAAGAAAAATTTCATTATTTTCTAAAATTCCTTTAAATGCATGTAATGCAAACAAGCCTAATCCAACTTTTTTATTAGACTCCCGAACCAAAACAATAATTTTCAACCATCAACTTTCTCTCACCCACAACAAAAGACAAGAGAAAAACCCTTCAACTCTCATGGCTGATAACATGAGGACCACTACCTACCACACTTTCTTGCCAACCACAGCTGAAGAAGAGGAGGCAAAAAGAGCCAACAGTCCTGAGAATCAAGCAAGACGCATTCAAGTTGAAATTAGAAAGCGTTCACCGGAACCATTTATGGATATTGGAAGTACTATAATGTTTAGCAAGTCGATTTGGAATTTTATTAGTAACTTTGAGTTTCATGGATATTGGAAGTACAATAATGTTTTTCTATCATATTGAGGAATAATATGTTATATATCACAATCCACAAAGGCATACAGTTAGCATTTTTCCACCTCTTCACTGGGCAAAACACTAGCCGTATATTGTGTTCTTCATTTTAATTACCTTCTGATTAGGCAATAAGTGGTTGACTTACTGTTTGATGTGTATGTCGGAAGTTTGAATAGAAAAACTAGTCTCACAAGAAGGGTTGCCGTTTCTGAAAGGGCACCAAGAAGTCTGTTGGAAAATTGACTCGCATAAAGGATACTAAATTTAGGACCAGCGACCGGTCGCAGGGCATTTGCGACCGGTCGTTTCTACACAGATTCGAAGTCTGGAGCTAAGTCGACAAGCGACCGGTCGCTAGCTCTTTGCGACCGGTCGCGGGAAGACAATTCGAAGTCTGGAGACTCTGTGCAAAAGCGACCGGTCGCAAATGACCTGGGACCGGTCGCCCGACACGC